CAGGGTATATAGTTTTGCTTCTATTCATATCTTACATATCAATATTATATACTGGGCCTCTGGATCACACTCTTGGTATATTACATCTGGATTTAATTTGTTTGAAATCAAAATAGCTACCCTCTTGTTTTTTGTCCTTCAAAGGAGGCCTCTATAACCCTAGAGAAGTGACTACGTGGCAGTGGCATCCTATTTTTTTCCTCTAGGAAACATATATCCACTTTTTCTTTTTTTAAGCATTTTGATCAGAGAGGATCTTTTATTTGGTGGATTTAAATCTTGGGTATTAATTGACAGTGAACTTAACCATAAGAAATATATATATTTAATCTCCGTCTCCCAAGCATCTATATCTGAGCAAGAAGTTCACAAAAAGCATACATATAAACACATATATGAAGAACATAATACGTTCATCTATGATCTCTGACACCACAGGCTGCCCAATTCCCCAACCCATAACGGCCTTGGATGTTAGAGATAAATTATTGTCTAAGCAATAAATCAGGTTCTATCTTGAACCTCGGCATTGGCGCGTATTTTTTTCAAATTCCTATTGCTCCCGAAAAAAAAAATAAAAAAAAAAATAAAGATTTCCTTAACCATGTTTAATTATCTCTTCTCCTATCTTGTTTCCTTTTTTCTACTGTTGCTCTATTACTCATCCTTGTGATATTCCTTAACCTCCCTTTATCTCTTTGCGTATAAATTTCTATGCAAAAGTAAGTATCCTTGTATATTTTTATTCCTCTCCTTTCCCTCTTCTTTTTTCTTTCCCTTTTTTTTGTATATTACTATCTTAAGTGAAGTATGCTCTTTGTGACCATACTTTTAATAAGTATAGGGATAAAGATAATTTATTATTTTATCTTCTTATCTTTTTTTATTTTGTTTTTTTGAATGTTTTTATTTTAGTTGTGCGGGTAGGTACATATCAGTGTCATACGCCACAACAGCGTACATAGATGCATACAGGCTAGACAGTGGCGTGAGGAGTTGCACAATTTTTATATATATAAACAAGCTTAACATAGTTGATGGAACTCTTGTTGTGTAGCTTAGTAGGTATATGGAGTACGATTGTGGTACAGGAGAGTAATATAAAGTAGCTCATGCTAGGCACAGGATAATAGTTAGCAACATGCATGCTATCCTTCAGTGTAGACAAGAAGAACACACTAATTATAATGATCTGCTGGAGTATAAGCATGGTGCATCTACATAAAATATGTGTTATGGAATAAGCTATCTAGGTGAGCCTGTGCTATGTTACTAGTGAGATTAACCCCTGAGTGTACTCTGATAGGGGCATGCAATTAGAAAAACAACTATAACATGAAATTGACAGCGACATCAGCATGGGTGCAGAAGGGCAACATGTAGAAGTGTGTCCTTGAGAAATGCGGTTGATGTGCTTGGGGTAGCAAGTTGATGTCAGCCAGTGCCTCGACTCGGTATGGAGGGAGAGTCTCTGGATGCTGCTGCACAAGGAAGGTATGTCAGGGTCTTCTTATCTTTTTTATATGGTGACTACATTTTTCCCAGTGTTTCTTCCCTTTATTGTGTAGATCTTATCCGAATTATATTTTTAGTACAGCGTGTTTTTTTTTTAATGTAAAATTTTTATTTTCAATCTTATTGTGACATTATTTATATATCTAGAAATTACATTCTGTTAAACCTATTACCCATTTCTTTCTTTAAAGAAAAACGTGATTATTAACTCTTTTATTCTGTTTTGTGTGTACTTTTTGTGCAAGTTATGAATTTTTCTTAATTTGTGTAAATTATCTATTTTCTAAACCCCTTTTCTTACTTCAGTTGCTACATTTACTGAATATCCAATCTTAACAGAAGGACGAAGAAAGAGAGGAGAAAAAAAATATATATACATAAATAAATACATAAAGAAAGCTCCATTAAACTCCAAACATCATCAATCCATATTATATACGGGAGCAAATAATATATATGAGCCTAAGTGAGACATTCATCTAGCTGTGCTGGATTTTTAAATACTAATCTCTGTCCATCATTAAAACCCCACTTGTATCGTATTCCTTTTTATCTTAGTTTGATTGTGCAGTTTCTATATTTCTGTCTTGCCATTCTTGTATTATAAAATTGGTCTTGGAATACATTAAATTTTTGGTAGATTTCTGGGATTGAATTTTTGTCCATAAATGCTCTTAAAACCTGGAATTTAAATCTGAGGGTTGAAAAGCAAATTATGACATTCCATTTTCGTAATGTGTAATTTTTCAAATAATTCTAAAAGATATTTTTCCAATTGTTCTGAGGTTACCGATTCAGGGATGTTTCTGTCCTCTATGTCAGTGATCTTTGCTTCTAATTCAATTATCTTCTTATCTGTCTGTGTTTGTTTCTCTTTAATTTCAAAATGTAAATAGTATGTGGCACTCACTCTTTCTTCCATCTCTTGCACTTTTTTACCTAATTTGCTTAATTCTTCTCTTAAGTTTCAGGTGTTAGTTTGTAGTTCTTCTTTAATTTGTTCTAGCTGTTCCTTTAAACATAATCTTAAAATATCCCAAGTTATTGTTGAAGAATCTAAATCCAATAACCCCTGTTATTGAGTTTCTACTTCAGCTTCTATTTCGTTGTACCTGGATGCAGTTTTCTTGTTCTCTTATCTTTAATGTCCCTTCCTTAGTTTTCTGTGTTGCCGGTGTGAAAAAAAACAGATAATCTTTGTTCTTTATACACTTCTGAAGTTTTTACCCCCTTTTTTTGTGAAGGTTTTGCATCTTTTTTTTTTATTATCCATCTTCAAATTGATTTTCTATGTTTTCTTTTCTTTCTCTTTCCTGCCCTTCTTTTTTTTCCTTTTGGGGTAAGAAACTAAAATTTATTTTAGTTTCTCTTTTTCTTTCCCCCCTTTACTCTCTCTCTCTCTTTTCCCTTCTTCCCTTTCTTTTTTCTTCTTTCTCACTTATAAATTGCTTCACAGTTGTTAGTCAGTTAGTGTCGGTTAGTGTCCCTTTAAAACATTTTTCTTTTTTTATCTTCCTCCTCATTTCTTCCTTTCTTTTTCTCTTCTCTTACTTTCCCTTTTTCTTTTCCTTTTCCTTTCTTTCCCCTTTTTCTTCCTTCTTCTTTCCTTTATTCCAGAGTTTTAAGCTAAATTCCCTTTTTTTCCTGCAGTTAATTAAGCCTTAACCTCTTACGGTTTGTTTTTGTATATTAAGCCTTTGCTTGAGCCTTACCTTTGTTTCAACTGGACTTTATTACTTCTTAGATTTTTCTCTCTATTTTAATTTTAAAAAAAATAGTTTTAAGGTATTTACAGAAGAGTCACAGTGTAACTGGGCACTTTTGTAATAAGAAGCTTTAATATCTCTTTTTTTTTACTTGCAAATTTCAACACATTTGTTGATCGATTAGTGGCCCTTTAAATTAGCTTTTTTTTTTTTTTGAGGATTTAGGCGGAGTTTTAATCCTTAGTCTTTTATGATTTGTTTTGGTATATTAAACCTTTAGTTGGATCTTTGCTTAAGCCTTACTTCAATGTCAACCACACTCTATTGCTTCTTAAGTGTTTGAAGTATTTACAAGTGTTTCCAAGTATTTACAAAGGGAGTCATAATTGTGATAACTATTACACAAATGTAAGTTACTGTTATCAGTTAAACTTGATTTATTATACAAGCCTGCTTGTTTTGAAGACTGCTCCAGCTTCTGTTGGATGTTTCAACTGTACTTTAGCTGTCGAGGTAATAGCTGTGAAGAAGTCCAGCTTGTATCTTCGGTGGTGCCTCACCTCCGTTACACCTCACCACAGGAATTCCTCCATCTTGCAGAGCGATGCACGTAGCACGTTGTGCCCATACATCATCGCACCTTCCCCCCTAATTCAGTTCTGTTTTAAGTTAAGGCACGACTAATCCACATTTTTGTATTTCTTTTGGGATTTATATTCAACTGTAGGTTATAACACAATGGCACAATCATAAAACAAAACATGGCAACAAAGAAAAAAAAAGAAATGACCCCTGTTCAAAAGTCTGCATACCCTTAGTTCTTCATACTGTGTATAGCCCCCTTTAGCACTAATAACAGTGTGCAGTCTTTTGTAATAGTTGAGGCCCCTAATTCTTGCAGGTGGTATAGCTGCCCATTCGTTTTGGCAAAATTCCTCCAGGTCATGCAAAGTCTTTGGTCGTCTTGCATGAACTGCATGTTTGAGATCTCCCCAGAGTGGCTCAATGATATTAAGGTCAGGTGACTGTGATTGCCACTCCAGAACCTTCATGTTTTTCTGCTGTAACCTGTGGAGGGTCAACTTGGCCTTGTGATTACATCATTGTCATGCTGGAAAGTCCAAGAGCATCCCATTCGCAGCCTTTGTGCAGAAGAATGCAAACTGTCTGCCAGTATTTTCTGATAACATGCTGCATTTATCTTCCAAACAATTTTCACAAGATTCCCAGTGCCTTTAGAGCTCACCCCTCCCCCCCAAAAAACATCAGTGAGCCTCCACCATGCTTCACAGTGGGGGTGGTATTCTTTTCACTTTAGGCCTTGTTGACCCCTCTCCAAGCATAGCACTTATGGTTGTGACCATAAAGCTCTATTTTGGTCTCGTCACTCCAAATTACAGTGTGCCAGAAGCTGTGAGGTGTGTCAAGATGTTGTTGGGTATATTGTAACCAGGCTTTTTTTGTGGCATTGGTGCAGTAAAGGCTTCTTTCTGGCAACTCGACCATGCAGCTCATTTTTGTTACAGTATTGTCGTATTGTGCTCCTTGAAACAACCACACCGTCTTTTTCCAGAGCAGCCTGTATTTCTCCTGAGGTTACCTGTGGGGTTTTCTTTGTATCTCGAACAATTCTGGCAGTTGTGGCTGAAATCTTTCTTGGTCTACCTGACCATGGATTAGTGTCAAGAGATCCCCAAATTTTCCACTTCTTAATAACTGATTAAACAGTAAAGGCTTTGGATAACTTTTTATATCCTTTTCCATCTTTAAAGATCCATTACCTAGTTATGCGGGTCTTTTGACAGTTCTTTTCTGCTCCCCATGGCTCAGTATCTAGCCTGCTCAGTGCATCCACATGAGAGCTAACAAATTCATTGACTATTTACACACAGGCACTAATTGCAAGCCACAGGTGTGGGAAATTAACCTTTAATTGCCATTTTAATCTGTGTGTGTCACCTTGTGTGTCTGTAACAAGAGCAAACATTTAAGGGTATGTAAACTTTTGATCAGGGCCATTTGGGTGATCTCTGTTATAATTGTGATTTAAAAAGGAGCCAAACAACTATGTGATAATAAAAGGCTTCATATGGTCACTATCCTTCAATAAAATACATTGTTTTGCATGATCAGTCATATTTTCTAAATCAATGCCAAAATTTCACAATTTGTGCCTGGTATGCAAACCTTTGAGCACACCTGTATATAAAGCATAACATATATAATTAATATTACCTCTGAAGAATTGGTTAGTAAATAAGTGCATATATGTGTAAACAATTTGAATCTGTTTTAAAATGTTACAAACCAGTGTTTTACACAGATCCAAGTTGGAAAGGCTCAGCATACAGTAAATTTACCAACAAATACTCCAAATCATGTGGGCTTCACATTTTCCAATCAGTCCTGACTTTTATCGGAATTTCCATGGGCCCTTAAGTAGTAACACTTAAAGTGACTGGTAGCTTTTTACCAATGTCAATATCACTGTGATTGCTCCCACGGTTATGCATTACTGTGGATAGCTGTGAACCATGGGTTTTATTAAGGGTTGTTCTGTGCAAACTGACAATTCTATTTCAGGCTGTTGCTGCTGAACAAGAAGAAAATGATTAAAATTAACAATCACGGATGCCTTTAACACACAAAAAGCGAAGCATAATAGATACACATCAAGAACAGAATAAAGCTCAATAACTTGCACTCTAGGTAGTCACCCACTCAGGAGGTCTCTAAGAAGTTTTAGCTCAATTGTGCCATTACAGAGGGAACCCATACTATTTGCACATTGACGTTTTTCTTTTTCTTTTTTTAAATTCACAGAGCATATGTAGTAATATACATCTACTTACAAAAAATACATATATGTACAGAAGAAAAAAAAATATATATATAGTAGTACCCACGTTTGTTGATGTGGCAGTTCCTATCATGATTGCTGATGTGAAATCATCATTGTTTTGCATGGTACATGGTTTGTTGTCTGCAAAAACAGAGCAGTCTCCTCGTAAGATGGCTGCCAACAGATATTATTAAAGAATTATATTAAACAAAAAGTAAACAATTTTTTCTATCAGCAGCTATTGTATGTTAGTATAAAATAACTTCAATAATATAAAAAGATGTACATTTTATGAGATGAAAGTTTTCCCTTTAACATTGCATTTACCCTTAACACAATTTTAGGTAAGAGTGGTTGTATAGGGAATTACTATTAGCTGTAAGGCATAAATGTCTTAACCACTGTCCATGGTCCTGATAGGCAATACAAACCTGACACGCCCCCCCCTTAAATGCCTCATCCTAACAATGCACATGCAGGATATGCACTCCCAAATGTAATGTGATACATGGCCCCCATACTTTACTCGTGCAAAAAAATTTTTGTACTTTGTTTTGATAATGCTCAGTAGTGTGTACCCGTTTTGTTAATACTTTCTACATTATTTTCTACTTTTAGATACAATTAAAACTGGCAAGCAGATACCAAGCTGTTTCCGGACTGGCTAATAATTTAGATTTTTTTTTTTAATTTTGCATCTACAAGATATGATTTATGATAATTGCAAAAAAAAAAAATAAGAAATGCATGATTTTATGTACATATAAAATTAGTGTTTTGCTTTTTCTGTTTTTAATTTGTAATGTATTAAGCATTTCAAAAATATGAGAAAGTAGTAAAGAGAATATCTAAAATTGTGCATTACAATTTTTATTTTGTAAATGAGATAATCATACATAAAACATGTCAAATTGTAGTGAGACTAATATGTGCTAGTCTTAGGAATAATGCATAATCACTCCTCATTACGATGTATTAATTAAGTAGAAGGTGAAAATAGCTAACAAAGATGTTTTGAAAATAATTTAAGCGCTGGAGGTTTTTTTTTTTAAATCTCTACATTAAAAAAATACCGTATTACAAGTCAGTAATATTTTTGGGTGAACTGGTACTAATAGAAAAGAAAGCAAAATAAATGATTGGTTAACAATATTATTCAATTGAATTGACGAATAGATTGATGTACTTGCAAATACAAAGCAATGATTTCCTCTGATTCCAACAGATTGTTAGAGATGAGTTCCTTTGCTGAATAACAATGTAGATTTAAAAAAACAAAAAACACAAAAAGACAAGAAACAAAAAAAAAGCAGTTTTATTAACAAACAATGGCATCTACTTTTATTATAAACAGAAAGGGTTTATTCACTATAAACTGAATTATAGTGAATTTTAAAAATAAGGATTTGAAGATTTAGGAAAAATATAGCTGAGCTGTTACAATAGCTCAACGGGAGAGTCTTTTTTTTCCAAATCAGACATTTTAGGCTGAATGTTGCTGTTTGATTTTCAGTACACCAAAGTTCAGTGTTTAGTAAAAAAAAAAAACCATTGCCTTTCTAGCTGAGGGTGGATGTCTGTGTAAAGGATCTTTTATACTTTTCTCATGCATGTTTCAAGTGGCTTTCTTGTAGCAAATGCACACCATGCATGGATTCTTCCTATTGCATCTTCATGTGGCTGTTCAAAGTGAAACAAAAAGTGCTGCTATAAACAACCAATGCTGCACATGTTTAAAATGAACGATACCCAAACTGTGTATAAACTGATTCATAATTAACAAAACAGTGATATTGGTACAATGTAGAAACAACAAGGCTGAATGATATAATCTCCAATATTTTTGCAACATCAGATATTGACACATGGTACATTATGGAGACAGCCCCAGGGAAGATAAAACACTAGAATCTGTCTCCAGGTTATTCCATTCTCTTTTTTTATGGTAGATAATAGATGGAGAAGTAGACAGACAAAGAGACACCAAGTCCTGGAGATAATAGACAGACAGAGATAATAGACAGACAGACAGAAAGACAAGCAAGAATGCTGATGACAGACCACCTGACAGAGATCTGTACAAAAAAACAGACACACGACCAATTTTTTTTATATACATCAACTACATGTACATTTTCATTTTGACTAATATTTAATTGTATCACTCTAATTGAAACAGGTGAAATTGGTATTGTTTTTTACAGAGTTGGAGCTATTTTGTTGTCTAATGTTTAATATGAGGTCCCACAAATTCCCAACATGGTTTAGTGTAGTGTACTGGTTGTGGATCACATTGCTCCCCACTATGATACTGCAAACATGAATGCAATGAGTGCTGAGTAAGCCCTCTAGGGGTCTTCTAGGTAACCGGATCTTGGAGAGCAGTTTAAAAAGGGACTTAAACCTGATTTTTCAAAGTGTAGAATTATACTGAGAACTGAAAGTAGTGTCTGTCTGTTTTAGAGCCGGCACCAGTTATCAAATAGTGATTACCAGTGCTGATTCTATTGCTTTCCACAGGGCTCAAAAAGTCCTGCTGTTCTACTATTTCACCAGCTATTGAATGGTATTCATGCCTTAAAAAGCGGTGTCACTTTATTCTGCAGTCTAAATTGAGTTCAATATGAGTTCTTACATGCAGAGATTCCAAATAAATGGCACAAAATTGCACTCAGTTACATTAAACGAGAAAGTACTCAAACATTACAGTTTTGTAAAACGTGCCATAGCTTGATTTCTTTTCTCTCTCCATCTTTTTAATTACATTGCACTCCCTTGTACTATAATTTATGAAAATAATACAATTTAAAAAATCACATTGTATTTTAAATAGTTACAGTCGTGTTTGTAGAAAACCAAACCAAAAAGTGTTAAAGCGCACACAATGATTAAAATTTTACCTTTAGGGGGGCGGGGGCGGGCAGCCATGCTGACCAGTCGCATGCAGGAGAAGCTCCTGAGGGATTATGTCTTTTAAGCTAACAAACGCTACTTGGACACTCAACCCGAGCCAAGAAACTTACCTGAAGTTGATACACTGCTGTGGGTATTAAGGTGGACTCTGAGATCGGGAGTTTTACAGCCAATATAGGCGACACGAAACTTCGGAGTCTGCGGCCTACTGGGAGGCGAGGTGGGCTGGACAGTCGCTGCCCTGTCTCCCCCCCCCACCCCCCAGATACCACACATTGGCCCTCTAGGGCAGCTGCTGGTCCTTTCCCCCGCCCCCCTGGGTTGATGGGGGTTATCCCGGTCCCCACTGGAGAATCTGAACCCGAGACTGCACTGCAGAGTAAAGTATACACTCACTTTAATCTGCTGCTAAAATGAGGGCCCCCCGAGCACGCTCGAGACAGACATCTAACACCATCCTGCCTGACGACTCATTAACGACGGAATCGCATAGCTCCTGCCTAAGTCCCTACCATCATGACTTTGCTGCACGCATTCAGAGCAATAATCCTGGACACTCGCAATGCAACACCCAGCAGTCAGGCTTGGTACCCTGCTTCTACTCACCCAACGGGCCTAGAGCAACTTACTCTCACATCCCCAGGAGTATTAATTCTACGGGGATTCAGAGTTCGGCTCATGGAAGCACTGGATGTGAGGGCGCAGGATGCAGGTCTGAGCTGGGACCCGAAGTTGGCGAAGCAGCACAAGCCAATCTCTCACATCATGCTGGGTCTTCACACCATGCTCAGCCAGACCTAAGGTGATACAAGGCTGCAAGATCATCAGGTTCGGCTGAAATGAAGGAAGACTGTAATCTTGAATATACACCATGCAGAGCACAAGCCACTCGATATGGAGAGCTCCAGCGGTTTTCACAAAGATGTAATGCTTATTTTGTTTGTTTGCTTAATCATTTTATCTTATTCTTATTTTATTATTTTTATTAACTTCTTTATTATTATCATTATTTTCTCAAAACATGGCATGTCACCTTAATATCTATCACAAAGCAGTTGGAAGTCAAGTGTTATCCAGACTAGCTGTGATGTCAGAATGCACCACTACTTAATCTTACACCTAAATATGTTACATCACGACTACCCTACCCACCACAACATAAAGGCTTTCATCTCTCGTTTTAATCTCTCATTATTATCGTACTCTTGTGACCTACAACCAGACGTGTACATCTAGCCAGTTTATATTTATATTATATAAAATTGTGCCAGATCTTGTTGCCATATATGTGTAAAACTTTGATATTTATGTGCTTGCTTATGCTATTGTGGCATCGTAAACTCTTGTTCACTCGTGCACAACAAAAATAAAAAATAAATAAAAAAAATTAAAAAATTAAATTTTACCTTTCAAAAAACAATGAGGAGGGTCTTGTAACATACATTCAGATAAAGACCCTAAATAATGTGAATATAAAGCAGAAAAACTTGGAGATCAGTATAGAATGCCGCCTAATGCATTTCGTGGTGTTAGGCGGCATTCTATACTGATCTCCAGGAGAAAGCAGATTGGAACGCATCCAGAGCCGCAGTGGAACGCACGCGGCTGACAGCCAGTGTTGACACAGCACAAGGAGGTCCAGACTCACTTTTATCCGGCCGGTGAGAGAGAGATATTAACAGCATTGGACCCTCAGACTGTAAACCTGGTATTATCTGCTTTTTCACTTGGAACATTTATGTATTTGTCTTTTATATATATGTGTATTATTTTGACAGTGTATATGTTCTAATAAAATCTTCTATAGTAAGCACTCTGTCGGCTACACTATATAACTGACACAGCTTTTGGATTTTAACCCTAAGTGGGACAACTTATTTTCTCAATTATTATATCCATCTTAATGTGTACCGGTTCATGTATATTACAGAACCCCTACTAGATTATTATTTCAGCCATTATTATCTTTTCTTCCCCTTTACATGGGAGGAAATGGTTTAATTAGCTGATATATTTAAAAATAAAATAAAAATGTATCTTGAAGTTACAATTGAAGCTCCATCTCCACGGAGTCCTGTAATTACTATTGTTTAACTCAATAGGCACCCTTGTATTTTTAAACCGTAGGTGGCGGCTATTTCTACAGTGACACAGTGGTTATGGTAGTCACATCTGGTCTCATTATCCAACTTTAGTGGTTATTCATCATTGTTTTTTGGTGTCTACCTATCAAGTTGTGTTTGATTTACAATAAAAATACACCACTACTTAATCTTACACCTCAATATGTTACATCACGACTACACTGGTAAGCTGCCTACAGCCACGTGCGATCTTAGCCTCCTGGAGTCTCCTATCTCAAACAATGTATCATATACATATTATACCTGTTAGTAAGTTTATGGCATTTCGTAACAATTGTCAAAGCTACCAATTATGCAGTTGGAAAGGGAGTCAGATTGGGGGCTGTTGCATGGCCTACCACTGATGATGCTCGTAGGCATAAACGTAGTGTGCCACCTGACAAGCACTCTCGTATGGATATATCTGTCCTGAGAAAAATATATAAAGGAGCTGCAATGAGATTTTTGGTGTACACTAAAAAACACCTGGGACAGTGGAATAGGGGCCAGAAAACTTCCATTTGTTCGAGCAGTAATGACGTATTCTTAATTTCTAATGAATGGAGCAACTGTCTTGTCCTGAATTATATATCCCCAAAAATCCAGCTGGGCATCTATGTTATTGTTATTTATTTATTGTTTGCTTTTATTTTGTTAAATTCATTATCAATATAATGCATGAAAACGGGGGTCACCTTCATTCTGGAGCATCCACTTAGTCACAGGAATACTTGCAGATCAATCTAAATATTAGGCGCTGTTGTTGACAATTTACAAATTACATGTCTTTAAGATCAATCATTTTTATTTTGGTAACAAAACAACCTAAATTGTATTTCACAGTATTGCCAGGGATGCAGTAGAGCTTTAGTTTGTTCAGACATATCCCTATAGAGCAGGGGTGTCAAAATCCTTTCCTTGAGGGCAACAGTGACAGACGCACTAGGTTTTCAGGATAACACTTACAGCAAAGTTAATTGGTTAACAACATGTTAATTAGCAAATCTCTGGCATTCTGCACCCCTTCTATAGTGCCATGTAGCCCATAACTGAATATTGATTTCTATGAAGAAGCTCTGACTTAAACAGAAACCACATTGTAGGGGGAGCAGAGTCAGATGCATTTAATGTGATTAGCCAGCACAGAGGAACAGATGGGCATAATGCAAATATAAACGCTATGCTTGCTACACTATGTCTGACATCATTTAACCCATTCTGCTCTTGAAACTCTACCAGTTGCTTTGCTCGTTTTTCACAGAAATACTTAGATATAAACAAAAACAACAACAAAAAAGAAATACAACACCTTTTAGTGCCCTTCAAAATTAATTAAAAGGCCTCATTTTTTTTTTCTGCCGTCCGATTTATTTCTAGGTATTTCTGAGGCAAGAATAGGTTAGTAAAAATTAAACACGTACGTTGCTCCTCTAAGAAAGAAAATTAAGCAAAATAAATTGCAAGCGTCAGATTGCTTTGTCTGTCAAATACTGGAAATATTAGAATTAAATTAAAAGATTCAAATCACCTTTTACGGCACGTCTGAAAAGCACAGTGTTACTAAAAGCAGCCAAATCATTTTCCTTAGAACGGCAGAAGCTACGCAGTAATGATTTGGGTCACCAGTAAGTAGTTATGGGCTGATGGCTCATGTAGTCCCTGCTCACAGCTATACTGCCTGAGGCTTATTCTATAAAGCTTATTAGGACAATATTATTTGATGGCGGTTTGATGTGACCCATTAGGGCGCAGTTATCTGATGATGACTCAACCCCAATTGTCTCATTCTAACTGCTCCAAATCTAATTGATGCAGGGATTTCAACCTTAAAAAAAACGCAAATATTGTAATTCCAGGCTATAGCTGGTACAGAAAAGTATGCAAATTGTTTATATGTTTATTTGTGTTGATTCATTAAATGAAAACCATATATTTTGTGTAGTATCAGCACACATACACACACATGCAAACGTGTAAAGCAGAGGTTAAAAGGACAAATGTTTTTAGTTAAATTATTTTATTGCATTGATGTTAAACAAAATGTATGAAATAACACCTTTTCATCGTGAAAAGGATATTTTCTGGAACTGTCTTCATGAAAAACATAAAATTATACAACTATAGTGCAATATGTCACTATATGCAATAAACAGATGCATTGTGTATATTTTACTTGCTCTGTTTAGCAGTCTAATATTCCAATAGCACTGAATATTATCAGATATCACAGGCTATCCGCTTAATAGATCTGACTAGTCTTAGAAGGTGTTTCAAACTGTGGACCCCAAACATTGGCAGAGAATCACGAATGTTGTAGTTCAACAACAGCTGTAGGACCCACATAATTATTCAAATACACACTGTGCATGTTGAAACATAAAACATTTAAGAAAAACATGAACAAGCATGATTTTCTGTGTATCATTATCATAACTTTTTCATAGTCTTTATTAGTATCTGTTATTAGGTTTTTGTACAGATGATGAATAATTAGGCATAATGCCCTTAGCTAATCCAGTCTGAACAAACAGCATATTTTACTCAATAATTCAAGGTTTTAATGATCTTTTACTCACAAAATACAGACGACTAGTAGAGTGGAAGTATCAAATCATTATAGGTGAAACTGATACTCTAACACACGGAAGTGTATATTGCAATCCTGTGTAGGTAACCAATTAAAAATGTTTTCTGGGCAGAATTTCAAAAAACAACGCAAATTTTGTTTACAATTTTAATGCTGCTAATGCAGACGTCAGAAAATTTTATCTGCTGAGTCTAACTCATGATTTACTTGAGACACTATAGGCACCAAAACAACTTCAGCATAATGGAGTGGTGTTAGTGTATAGATCATGCCCGTACAGTATCACTGCTGAATTATCTGCCATTTCGGAGTTAAATCACTTTGTTTATGTAGCTCTAGTCACACCTCCTTGCATGTGACTTGCAGAGCCTTCCTAAACACTTCCTGTAAAGAGAGACCTAATGTGTTAACGTCCTTTATTGCACATTCTGTTTAATTTAGAATTTGTTAACTTCAGCTTTGTTAATAGCCTACAAGACCCTGCAGGAGCCTCCTGTGTGCAATAAAAGTTACATTTACGGAGCAGGAGAAAAATGTTTTGAAGCAAGTTAACAAATTTGAAAATGAAACCATTTTGTTTTCATGCAGGCTGTGTCAGTCACAGTCAGGGGAGGTGTGGCTAGGCATAAACAGATATAAAAGTGATTTAACTCCTAAGCAGGGGAGAATTGAGCAGTGAGACCAATAGTGCTTCATTAATCAAAAGTTGTTTTGATGCCTATAGTGTACCTTTAATTTTACAATGTTTAGTTTGGTAAGATTAACAATAACAACAAAAAATGTAACTTTTGCAAGGTTATCAACTGCATCACAAGGTTATGGTCAACCAAGTGCACTGAGGAAGTTAATGCGGGACAGGTGCATTAAAGGGAAACTGTCACTTTAGGGGCTTTTTAACCCCTTAAGGACCAAACTTCTGGAATAAAAGGGAATCATGACTCGTCACACATGTCATGTGTCCTTAGGGGGTTAATATTATGTTTACTTATTTCCTATATTTAATTTGTAAAACATGAAAAATAAAATCAAACATAAATATGCACACCTCTTTATCCGGCAACTGGAGGCCTCCATTAGAGCTTTTTCTTATGTATTGTTATAAGCACCTTGCAGTTAGCATTGAGTGTACCGATGAGACTTAATATGAAATAATGGGCTGGATTCTCTTAGCTAAGTTAGGGTTTACTCTGCTTACCGAATAGTAAATCCTTAATTGAAGTCTATTGGAAAATTACTATTCATTAAACAGAGTAAGTATTTTCATAGCTAAAGAATTTGTACAAAACTTCCTCCTCATTTACAACATGTGGCTGGCTATGACTGGACAGAATTGCATTGTGATGTCAGAATTGCATTGTGATGTCATCTGGTAAATCTTTACTATAAATGTAAATAAGATGTGAAAAAAGTAAACAGAAGGTATAGGTGGTTTTAAATCGTTTATTCAATGTTGTAATTTCTAGAGAACAGACAGTTTCCATTTTAACCTAGTATGCTCTCTATGGATATTGCTGTGCGTATTTCTTTAACATAACAACTGATATTACATATCGTGTGCATGCATCATTGTTGTTTTATAAAGTTTGCTAAGTTATACTGTAGTCACAGTGTTTTTGTTTCTGTCCTTTAATTGGTTCAATAAGTAAATAATTTAAATTTATTTAAAATAAATAAATGAACGAATCATTACTTAACACTGATTTCACATTTCATCAAGTCAGAGAAGCTGATGTGTTCGTTCTGTTTATGCCCAAACACTTTTGGCACATTTTGTGGTACAGGTTATTCAATAGAAAATGGGGTTCCATGAAGTTTTCTCGTCTTTTTAAGTGTTGAATTTGCCAAGTATCCAATAGTACTAGTAGCCAATGGTGCCAATAGCTCTTCTACATGCGATCGCAGAAACTTGAGTGTTTTATGCAATGTATAGGGTCCTTTTTTCCCGAAACGTATCAGAACAGTTCGATTATGATCACATCAACATCATTAATGGCTCATCATCTGCCATTACCAGGCTGATATATGCTGAATGTGAGATTGTAAATTTACCCCAGAATTATAAAAGGCTCACAACATTTCTCTCACTTTTCAATATGTGCATGTATATACAAAGACACACACTTCAGTAATCACAGATTATGAGTCACTTCTATTAGAAAGAACCATAAACATTTTTTATTGCTATTGCACAAATCCCCATTTCACTGTATGCTGATCCTATCAACTGAAAAGCAGGCTCCTTTGCGTCTGTAGTCTGACGCTATAGTGAAATAATATGATAAACCGAAGCTCACATGTGCTAAGGAGGAATGAATGAGATAGAAACTCAGCAAAATCATTCGAAACATTTAACTATCTCAAAAATCAAACTTAAGACCAATGAAGTACAGGTTTTTTGTTTTGTTTTGTTTTTTACAAATTCATAATATCAATGTCATTATCTGTCTTTCTTTGTGAGAGAGCACAGGGCTAAATATAGAGATGTTTCTTCTAAAGTGGTTTAGAGAGGAGTTCAAGTTTTCATTTGCACATTGATCACATAATACACTTTTCACCATCATTATCATATTCACACTGACAGTGTGCTTGACGGTGTGTAAGGGAGTGTTTATGTGTATGGCAGTGAAAGAGAGTGTGATTGTGGCATACAGTAAATCTCAGGGAGACGAAGGTTAGGAAAAGGATATGAAGGGCTAGGAAAAGGTGCAGAAGGATTTGCAAGAGATCGGAAGCAAGGATTCCCTGGGCAAGGAGAGCAAAAACAGGCATTAGAAGGGGCAGAGAAGCATTGCAATGTAGGGGCAAATGAAACACTTGCCATTCCAGTGCAGAAGAGATAAATATAATTTCATCTAAATTAAGTTGTTATAGTGCCGGCGCACTTTTACCTCAAGGGGTTAAACCATTCTCAAACTGTTTGACCCCAAAGTTGCCTCCAGTGCTGATCGCCACTCCCCCCCAGACGGCATGCGGCTTCTGAAATTTCAGTTTCAGATGCGTGGAGTGCTGTCAGGCAGGGGTGCCTCTCTCATCCAATCAGCGGCTCCCCATTTACAAAACTGGCTTTGCAGTACAATTTTGAAGTGCAATATTTTGTCAATGAGGCATAGCACTTGTACTTATTGGTCCACCATGTCTATGGAATGAGTCATTTTAAAAGTAATCATTCCAAGGCTGTCATATTCGACAAGAGAGAGAATAAGGTTGTGATTCATTCCTCTGTGTATCTAATATTCTATCCAAACCTTAATAAAACATTGGAGATAGTAAAACAAAAAAGTAGAAAGGATGTCCTAGACTACAAAGTAAGAAATTAACCAATACTCCCCTTTTATGCCAGTCATTTTTAATTTCAACAATAAAACTAAAACTATTAAGAAAATCATCAACAAACACTGGCACATTCTAAAGCAAGATGACATATTAAAAGACTTTATCCCAACGAAACCCATTGTCATTTTTAGAGGAGCCCCTAATTTTACATCTATTCTCACATAAAATTAGATTTATTCTCACCAAGGACCCTGCTACTACCAATTCATCCTTCCTATCCAAATCAAAAGGTTTTTTTTAAAGTATAATAGGTGTATTGTATGTAGAACAACAGATCCACACATCAAATCCAAAACCACACATTTTATTTCCAATAATACTAATATTACTTATCCTATCAAAGACCTCATATGCTGTAACACTAAGAATGTTATCTACCTAGTGGAGTGCCCATGTGGCCTACAATATGTAGGGATGACTTCAAGATGCCTCAAAATTAGGCTGGCAGAACATTGTCAGAATATCATTAAAGGGCTATCCTAATCACTCACTTTCAAAACACTTCATCCAACATGACAAAAACCAAAAATAGCTTAAATGCATCGACAACCAAAAATGCAAGATTCCATGAAGAGGTGGTGATTTTAGAAAATGTCTTGGAAAAAAATGAAATGTCCTGGGTATTCCTTTTAAAAACCTTTGCCCCTGAAGGACTAAATGCTGGTTTTGATCTTTTTAATTTTCTGTAATTTTCTGTGTTTCTTCATATCCATTTTTATTTTAGTTTTTTTTTACAGTTTTTAGCTTTTATTTTATTTATTATTTTCCATTATTTCTATTATTTGTAATCATACTTTTCAAAAAAAATTCTGTGACATTTGCAATTTACTCTGACCCTTTATACTTATTTTTATTATAATTAACTTATACTATCATGTTTTAAAATGTATGCTACAAAACCCTGGTCTGAGTAACCATATTTGCACTTGCTATTTGTCACATATCTGTTTTATTCCTTCATTTATATATATATATTTTGTGGTTTATTCCTTATGTATTTTATTGCTGTACCCAACCAGTTTACTAGTCCCTTTTATTGTTTATTATTGTTATCAGCTGTTATTTATTATACTCTCTCCCCATCACTCACTCTTTTTCTATTAGATTTATCTAGTTTCCCCTTCCAATATAGCTGCTCCCCTTCCACTCTTTTTTATTGCCATCCCTAATATGGCTGACACAAGTTTTATACTAAAGTTATGCCATGACCATGATGTAATTTTGGCACCATTTATCTTTTTTACCCTTTTTATCATTTTACTACCTGGCATCTACTTGTTCCTACTTGTTCCTGAGACATACTACTCCAAAGCATCCTTGGTGGGAATTATACCACTTATGCCCTATCATTGAGCAGTGTGTCCGCCCAATTAAATGTGAGTAACCATTTGGTATTTTTATACACTCTCCTGGTTTTATCACAGTGAGCACTATTGTTGTTTTTTATGTTACATATGGTCCCCATCTGACGAGATATCTACTTACAACACTCCCTCATGTATCCCATAAGTGGGGAGTATACTACTGTACGCTGTTTATACCAGAGCTAGTTTTTAGCTCTCAAAAATGTGAGTATGACCATATAGACCTTTTTATCGGCTGTTACATATTTGGGTTTTATTGCACTATTAGATTATCTTTTCTCTTTCATACAGATCCCACGAACTCCTAAATCCCACTAATCTATAGATGTCTCTACCTCAGATAGATGACTCATAACACTCTGATTGGTTACTTAATCCACAAATCAGAGAGTTATGAGTCAAATTACACAGTGTGGGAAAATTCCAAAGAACTTTCCCACGCTGTGTAAAATGACACAGAGCACTCTGATTGGTGGATTTCAAGCCAACCAATCAGAGTGCTGTGACAGGTAAATGTAGAGACTTACCTGTCAGAGCACTCTGATTGGATAGCTTAAACCCACCAATCAGAGTGCTCTGAGCCTAATTGCCGGGCGGGGCAAAGCTTGATAAGCCTTCCCCCGCCCTGCGGAGCTCGGTCTGCACAGAGCCCTCCATGGGTGAATATAGATTTTTTTTTGTGCTCGTTTTTTTTTGTTTTGTTTTTTTAAGTGCATTGGTTATTATGGCTTTTTATTTGGCCTTTTTTGGGGCTGAAAAAATAAGATTTTAGAAAAAAGAAAACATCAAATGGTAAGTTTTATTTTATTCTTTTACAGGTACTTAGTTAAATGGTCCCCCCTCATTATTTTTAGGGTGAGGGGGGTAGGTAGGGGTTAATTTTGGGGGGAGAGGGGTGACTAGGGGTTTGGGGACCCCTAGTCACCTGGGGGAGGGAGGGGTTATTTTTTTTATTTTGGGCCCCCACCCACTGCTCAGGGGTAGGGGCCAAAGGGAGGACATTAGGTCCCCCTAATTAGTATTTAGGGCCAGGGGGGAGGACATTAGGTGTCCCAGGGGTGGGGGCTGGGGGGGAGCACAATAGGTCCACCCCCCCATTATTTTACTTTAGGGCCCCCGTCCGCCGCTCGGGGGTGGAGGCCGGGGGGCAATAGGTCCCCCCCCCCTTATTCTAATTTAGGGCCCCCACCTGCTTTTTTTTAAAAAGACATGCCCCTACTCACCGTATAGCGAGTAGGGGCATAATTTACTAATACTAAGTAATCTTTACTTAGTATTAGTAATTTTGGCTGAAAGACCAATTTAGGTCTTTCAGCCTTTTTGGTAGATAACTCCCTAATACCATGGGAATTATCTACCAAGCGGCTGCAAGAGAAGTTCTGAAATTCCGATGTTCCGAAGTGTCAAAGTGGCAAAGGTGTCGAAGTGCCGAAGTTGCCGAAGTTCCGAAGTGCCGAAGTTCCGAATTTCGGAATGCCGTACCGAACCGAAAAATTTTCCCATGCACATGCATAATGACGAGGTCCTGATTTGTCAAAACAGAATTTGGTCCCGCCCCGTGCCTATTTTAGCCAATCCAATGCCTTCCCTATGGTGATGATGTCACAAAGGGAGCGGAGCCAGTGCAGGCAGACCTGCGCGGCACTGGAAATAAGGTGAGTTTTAAACTTTTATAGGAGGGGTAACGGGGGGCAAACCACCTAAATGGTGGGTTTAATAATATAGGGTCAGGCATACATGTTTGTGTTCCTGACCCTATAGTGATCCTTTAAGTTTTTAAGCGCTGATCCTTCTGTATACTTTTCATGTAGTTAATATCCTCCACCCCAGAATGCCATTCAACCAATGATGTTGTATTATGGAACTTCCACAATGTTAGGATTAAAGTTTTAGTTGCTAATAGGAATTGTTGGAGGCAGGATTGATGGCTTGGAGTTTCAAGATTGGCTATGAGTTGTACACTTATAAAGCATCTGCTGGCATTGTGATTAAAGAGGGTTTAGTTATCGGTGTATCTACTAAAGCACAATCTACTAATGAAATTAGCATTTTTATCAAATAAGTCTGAGGGGACTTGCACTTATCCCCTAAAGCACTTTAGCAAGCTGAAGTGCTGTAGGGACTGGAGTATCATTTTAACCGCTTGAAGACAAGATCCATTTTTACATTTTTGCTTTGCCATTGTTCAGCAGAAATTTCCCTGTTTTCAGGATACTTAGGACTTTCTTCTCATACTATAAATATATAATTCTTCTATCTTGATTTTGGGAACCTCTTACATGATTGCAATGTTCACACATTTTTCACAGTTACAGGTCATATACAAGAGAAGTGCATACCTATTTTAAAGATAATTGGAAAATGTCCCCTGAGGTTTCTAAGGTGACATTCTTAATTAGCACTGTCACTTTTAGTGATAAGAGACTGATGCACATTCGATACCTGCAGTGAATTCTTTGGAATAGTTTATCTTATTCTAGAGATACAATTTTAAATCTCAGAAACAGGTTTGGAAATACAGTGTCCTGAACAAGTATTCAACCCCTTGGACATTTCCACTTGTCTTAATGTTATAATCGGGAAATAAAATACATTTTTGGGGCTTTTTGTCATTTGAGATATATATTTATATATATATATATATATTTAAATAAATAAACCCTACAGCCAAAATCAAAATTACTATCCAATCCATACTACAAACACAGCTCAAAAATAGGAGTCCATGAGGCTAACTAGTTCAGTAATTGTCACGTGCAATATGCAAGTTCCCTGTTGACACAAATGTAGCCAGTGGTCAAAGGGTTAAAAATGAAATAATAAAATCTATAATTCTAAGCATATTGGGGTCTTCTGGGTGGAGTTTTGTTCCCTGTTTTTCTTCTTCCCTTTATAATCACTATGCGTCTGTTTTCCCTGTGTCCTCCTTCGCAATTTATTCCACTTCTTTTATTCCATACGTGTTTTCCAAATTGTTTTTGACTCTTCTCACATGGCTACATTTATGGCATCTCCCTATTTAGCAGTGGTGGGAGGGCTTTGGCCATGTTGTCTTCTTCCAAGATTTTAGACTGACAGCTGCTTAGAGACACTCATTGGAAATGATGCCAGCAATGGACTTGTCACGTGAGCTGATGTGCCCAAGTGCTGATGTCATATGCATCAAGTGTCCCTGAGTGACAGTCCCAGGAAAAAAAAACAAGTGATTTGGCATCCTTCCACAGAGAGCAGGGAAGAATGTGACGCTCCTCTCTGTAGGGATTGCCACGTCTGGCGACTAGATATCTAATTGGTTAAGCTTTGTTGTTTTTTTTTAATAAACTATCCAGAGCACTCTTCAAAATTATTAACCATTTCATAGCCCATCACAAAATTAATTGTATTGGAAGGGTGGTTTAAATATCTATCCTGAAAGAAACTGTCAAAGAGTTTGCTAAACTTGTAACAAACTCAAACTGCAAAAATAAGGCTAAAATAGCCAAACTATGTTTACAGATGAGATGGAGATTGTTTTTCAGATCAGCGATTTGTGCCTAAATATTGCCATTACGATTTTAATTCACAACATAACGCAGTTAAGTGAATAAACTTGTCAAAAAAGACAATACTCATTCAGGCATTTGTGTTAAAGTAGGCATAAAAACTATAAAATGCTAGCAACAAAATAATTTAATCAGGCTCAAAGAATCTTTACATACAAAGCGGTTTATTCACTAAATGCTAGGTTGAAATTGCAGAAGTCGTAGCCTAAATATAGCAATTTATTTTATAGTTCGAAATAATTCAGTGTTTGGTGAATAAGCCCCATGTGTTTTTTTGTATTTTTTTCTTTGAGTTTGTGTTTCTAGCAAATGCAAAGTGTTGTGGAACAGACTGGCATTCACTGCACATTATTTTCCATGATCCCTTGTGTATGTGTGAGTGCCACTATGGAAAGAAAATGGACAATGTGCATGTAAGAGCAGTTTCATAGACAGATCACCTGGTCGGACACCAAGAATTGGAGGAGAATGTTTGCTATTTATCTAGCTTCACACTTTAACCCAGTAAACCCTTCAGTAGTAATTGCTGGGGTGAGATAAATCATAACTGTAGACAAAAAAGTGAGATTCTCTTTAGGTCAGTGTTGCACCCCAGTTCTTTGTAAACCAAACTTCCCATCAAGCTCAGCTTAGACTCCACTGCTGGATGGGATTTGAGAGTCAGTCAGTCTAGACTGCAGACACTGTCCCCAAGCAGCAGTGAACCTTGAAATGACCCAAAACATGCAAACACCCCTCTACACTGCCATGCTGGCTCCATCACACCTGTCCAGGTGAGTTCACCTTTACCGACTGATCTCCGATAGCACTGTGTCCTGACCGCGGGTTCGATCCCCACTACCTGCCTGTCCAGGTGAGTTCACCTATAGCTACACCGACTGATGTCCGCTCACGCTGAGTCCTGGCTGCGGGTTCGATCCCCACCACCTGCCTGTCACTGGTTGTAGGCTGCCCGCTGTCTTTCCTTCACTACCCCCAGCTGCGAGCAATGTCCCGGGCACTCTTGTTATTGTTAGCGGCGGGCAGGTGGAGGAGGAGCGGAGCGGGATTGGGCCGTGACGCCAGCCCGTGCCAGCCCTCCCCCGGCCCGGGGGGGAGAGGAGAAGGAGGAGGGTCTGTCGGGGGGCGGGAGGAGGCAATGCCGAGCTGATCCCACGTGTGACGAGCTCCTTCCCGGCTCAATAATATTCTCGTAGCGGCTCCGGGCTCAGCTGCTGCCTGTCTCCCCCACTCAGAGTGCCCAGTGCCCGCCTGCCTGCATGTGTGTGCCGGGCCGCCCTCTTCCCTCACACACCGCACTGCCTGCCCGGCTCAGCTGCCACCTCTCCCCCTCACCTCCTCTCAATTCTAACACAACATTCTACATTCTAAATAACTGTTTGAAGGGGATACTATGGAGGCAGATGGGAGCCAGGCCACCTCTGGGAGTCCGGCCGATTCTCAGCATGACCCCGGGTAAGTTGTAGGGGACTGTGGGATGGGGGTGTCCTGTGTGCATCACCCACTGACAGATAGGGGGGCATGCCCTGCACCCTGCCCTTCTCTGCAGGGGGGCAAGTGCCCAAGGTGGGCAGAGAGGGGGCTGAACAGCAAGAAGAAGAGATGGTGGAGGGCAGGGGGGGCTTCACATCCCTGTTTACCCTGCCTGATGGTTATAGTTACACCTTTAGTGTGTCTTGATCCGTAAGACAGAGGGGCCTCTCTTCCTCACTATCTCTGTCCCTCTCTCTCCCTTTAGCTTTTGTAAGTTACACGTCAAAATGGCCGATCTGACATCTGTGCTCACTTGTGTTGTGTTTTCCTCCCCTTCTAGTAAAATGTTTATCGGCGGCCTGAGCTGGCAGACCTCCCCAGGTAAGGCAGCTCTTCTTCCCACTGGGTTCCTTTATGGCTCTTTGTTGTAGGGCTCCAGCTTCCCCCCCTTTCTGTCTCTCTCCCTCTCCTCTCTCTCCCTGCACACGCTTTTTGCCTCCCACTTCTCGCTCTCCTTATTTATTTATTTCTCCCTTCCGAGTCCTCTATTCGACCCCTATCGTTATTTGGGGGCTCTTTAAATCCATGGGATGGATGGAGGGATGGGGTGGCTGGGTAGTGGTACCTTTCGACAGCCCCTGCTCCTTCTCATCTTGTTTTTTATGCTTGTGCACAGATAGCCTCAGAGACTATTTTAGCAAATTTGGAGAAATCAGAGAATGTATGGTGATGAGGGACCCCACCACTAAACGATCCAGGTAATCATCCTCTGTTTATTTTTTAAAATACGCGTTTGCTAGGATTTTGTTAAAACTTTGGCTGCTTTCTGGTATTTCTGCCTGGGCAAGTGGTCTTACGGAAAAATGTGGTCCATACGTTTCGGTTGTCACACCCCCCTGTCTCACAGCCCCTCTGCCTTGTTTGCAAATCTGTGATCAGTAGAAGGAAAAAAAAACACCACACACATATCAATTACCTTTCCTCATCTAGTATATTATTATTATTTTATTTTAACATTATTTTGGAGCTGTGTTTTTATCCCTCTGGGAAGTACCAATCGAGCAGCACAGCAATTCCATGCTTTTTGCAAATCTGTCTAGTAACAATCTATGAATTACAGTGGTGGTGTGATTCTCGCATAGTTCTTATTTTTAAATTCCAATCAGGATTCTAAAATATTATATTTCCAAGAATTCTGGTGGTGTCATTTTGGGTGAACTAGTTAAGTTCTTCTCTGGCTCCCATCCTTTCCAATGTAATTATAAAATAATTGCATGTTTGCAAATTATTGTGGCATGTGTTTATATCATATATTTCTTTATATATTTTGATCATGCAGGTAGAAGTCCTACACCTATGTGGGAGAAACAGTTTGTGTAATATTTTTGTTGTCTTTAAAATAGAACTGTTTCTCTCTGTTCCACTGCCAAACACTCTCTTTTTAATGCTGCTTTGAAAACACAAGAGGATACCCAGCATGTCTGCTTCTGATAATGTATTTTTTAAAACTTGTAAATGTGTTTTAATATCTTTTTATATATATCTATATTAATTTCTGTTTATTTGTGCTCCATGTTTAGCACTCATCGTCATTTTTCCTGTTCTTTGTCTCATTTCAGAGGCTTCGGTTTCGTTACGTTTGCAGATCCTGCAAGTGTAGATAAAGTATTAGCTCAACCCCACCATGAATTAGATTCCAAGACGGTATGTTGTCCTCTTTTTATCCCTCCTCATTTTTCTTTTTGCTTTTGGTTGTGTGTCAATCTGTAATATTGTTTCTGTGAGAGGCTTAGGCTTAGTTAAAGATAGAGAGACATTTTATATTGGTTCCATTTTAAAATAAAATATTTTACTTATGAAGGCTCAAATTCTAAATTAGAATTTTTTATAAGGGCAATTATTTTATCTTTTCTAACTATCTATTAATATTTTTGTGAATGCATTTTAATGCTGAAAGTATACTAAGGAAAAGGTATGCAATCATTATATGTTGACCTCATAAGCAATGGTGATTTTAAATGCAGTTGACACTTCAGTAATTGCTTTTTTGATGGCTTAATTAGACAAGGGGCTTGTATACCTGTAGAACATCAGTTTGAAATTTCCAAATTTTCTGTCCATTTCGTCAATGTTTTTTGGGGATGCAAAGTACAGACCAAAATATGGTGAAGCCTTTTTTTTTATAATTGTTAACAAAGGATTCTAGTATTATGGGAATCTGACTTAGAAGAGACTCTCATGTTTACAGAAAGAAAGAAACTTTGCTTTTTTGCACCCTATTACCCAGTTTAATTATACTTTAACAAAGCAAAAAGGGACACTGACAAAAGATCTCTCTCTATTGCTCCTGCCGTGTTTAATGAGGAGGGAAAGGTGAGCTAATTACACTGATTAGATGGAGGATTTTTTTAAACCAACCTTTAAATGTCAGAATATTAACTGTATATTTAGAAAGCTGGATATCAGACCCAAATCTGAATGAGGATGGAAAGCATTCTACACAATGGCATTATCAGAGCAACTGTGTGTTCCACGTGAATGTTATAGACTCGTTGGATAGCTTTTCTTGTTGTTTGTGTTTGTGTGTCTGCACATATGCACTTAACTGCCTATAGATATATGTATGCACCTACATAATTACACAAAGTCTAAAAAACATCACTGTAGTTCATCGGCTGTATGTGATTGTCACTACTGCAGCTTGTGTTGTGCTAAACTAGAAATATATAATAACTATATTATACATTTTACTTTGATGCACATTTGTTTGGACTGGGGTCCCAGTATTTGTTTACATGTTTGTTTAAGGTTTGGACAGCTACTGATTAATCAATATAACATAATTTTTACGTGGCTATTAAAAAGAATGCATGATTGGGTGAAGCACATTATAGTCCCCCAAAATAATTAACCTTTTTCCTCTGCTGGGGAAACCTGTGTGGCAAAGAAAATGGCCAAGTCTATGGTTAAAATTCATTACAAGTAGATATAATCTTTGCCCTATATGTGGCCTACCTACCTATTTTGGTTTGATATCTATTTCCTTGTTTGAGATATGGTGGGCCACAGAAGCCATTATCTTGTGTTCGTATTTGTGTAGATTTGTTACTATACATCAGCACATTCTTAATAATTGTCAATGTAGCTTTATGTAGCCTTTGACTCATGTTTCAACATTCAGCGCAGGAAACAGCTCGGTTGGGTTTTGACACGGAATCACCGCACTTGTTTACGCTTGCATTAAAAGCTTTGATTTTAGGTAATGGCCCATATACTTCAGAACTAGTACCATAGTCATTTTATTTTTCTAGAGGATTTTGTAGCTACAGTAAGTAGAGTTTTTGTCTCTGACTAACTTATTTTCTTCATGGTAGATGGTTAATGTATGTAATTGTAGCAAGCGGTGCAAAAGGTGAGTTATTTCAATGCAGGCTGATCTGATTATTCAAAGGCATTTGGGACCTCTGCAAGAAGTGCATTTAATAAGGAAATTTGAGATTGCCCATGTAGGAAGTGCATACCACTGTCCTCAGGTCTCATAAAATAAAAATATATATTTATTTTATTATATTAAAGGATCCTTCTGAATAGCCTAAAGGGGCTTAACTCTTTTCTGCCACAGTATAATGTTGGCCCTTTAAAAAAATGAAATAAAAATATAACGCAATAAGGGGTGAGCAGCACATTGCATTACTCTCTGGGACTTGCAGGGTTAAATAAAGGTACCTATCTTTAATTACACAGTACAATATGACTGCCAACAGCTTTGGGTTTCAGCTTGCTAAGTAGAAAATTCTCACCTGTTGCATTGCTTTTCTAGATGTGCACCTCTGAAGGTTCAGCACAGTTTTTGTAAATGCTATCGTAAATGCTCTTGTGTAATGGGTATTGAAATGTTTTAATGTCTTTGTTTACTTGATTAAAAAAAGGAATGTCTGAAAAAAGAATAATGGCTCCTTTCTAAGGTCGTGTATTAACCCCCTTAATGATAGTTAAGCCATATGGCAGAATATTTGTCTGTACCGAAACATGTATTTCTATTTTTTTCTTTTTTTTTTTTTCTCTCGATTTATTCCAGTCTGCCATAGACTGTCAATTTATTTCTTGAATGGAGAGATTTCATATTCTAATTTCGAGAAAAACTGAAGCTGTGTGCTGGATAGTGCCTGCTTTTTAAACTTTCTACCAAAATATATCTAAATCCTTTCCAAATGACTTTATTTTTATTTTCACAAAATAACTTGCTGTTTAGCCTTCAGGTGTATTTTACACCTGAATAGGAGCTCTTGTTACAATGCCCCAAGGTAACGTCAGGCATAGTGGTTCTTACCATGTGTTGATTTTATGTGATGTTACTATTGCATGCATTCATACATGTATAAATTAACCAACAGGTATATCATATTTTTACATACCTACCAAAACATAAAAAATTTTTGGGGTGAGGAGGGGGAAATTTTCTGCAGAATATATTAAAAATAATAAAATAAAAAGAGCTGTTTGTGAATTTGTGCCGGAGTTAAAATAAAACACATAATGTGTCTTACACATAGCATAAA